AGAAGAAGCTTAACTACTTTGGTAACTCTAGATTACATCACAAGATTACATCAATCAGGAGATACCTATCCTATCTAACAAAAGCCGTGATACTTGCCTTCACCCGCAATTCAAGCCTGAGCGCACAACCAATCTTCAGGAGATATCAATCAACCATCAATCAACCAGATATTACGGTCATGTGATCCTATTGGATATTCTTAACATCCCCCCTCAATCACAACTTATCAGCGAGGTTGAAATTGTCTCTGAACATGATCATTTGCTTCTCTGGAAGAGGCTTAGTGAAGTCATCGGCGATCTAATCCGTAGTGATGATGAATCTGATGTCCAGGCGCTTTGCTGCAACTTGTTCGCGTACAAAATGAAAATCGATCTCTATATACTTGGTGCGTGCATGAAATACAGGGTTAGCCGATAGGTACTTTGCGCCAAGATTATCACACCATAAACATGCTGCCAAAGAATGTGGAATACCTAACTCATCAAGTAATTTTGTACCCACATTACCTCTGCAGAAGCGTTGGCCAAAGACTTGTATTCAACTTCACATGATTGATCTTGAAACCGTAGGGTTGTTTTCTCGCACCATGACACTAGGTAACAACCTAGGAATACAAAGAAAACCACTTTGTAGATCGTCTGTCATCGGGGCAACCGGCCCAATCAGCATCTGAAAAAGCACTTACAAACATAGAGTTAGATTTTCTAATTTTTAACCCTAGGCCGATTGTTCCTCGTACATATCTCAATATTCTCTTCACAGCTTCCCAATGAACGGTCGTCTGCGAGTGAAGGAATTGACAAACTTTGTTGACCGAAAAAGACAGATCTGGTCATGTGAGGGTGAGATACTGGAGAGCTCCAACAATGATCCTGTATCTGGTTGAGTCCTCCACTCCTAACCGAGTGCCACTAGTGACTGAAAGTTTTTCGGTAGTATTAAGGAGTGTTTTGACGGGTTTACACAACTGTATATTAACTCTCTTGAGGATATCAGAAGCATACCATTCCTGTGTCAAAAGCAATTCACATTTCTTTCTTTGAACCTGTATGCCAAGAAAATAGTGAAGGTTCCCAAGATCTTTGATTGCAAAGTCCTTCTCTAAATCTCGGAGAAGAGCATCCACTGCTTCCTGTGATGAACTGGCCACAATTATATCATCAATATATACAAGCATAAAGATGACATGATTTCCTTTCCGATAAAAGAATAATGATGTGTCAGCTTTGGAGGGAATAAAGCCTAGACTCTGAAGTTTACCACACAACCTAGAATACCAGGCCCGTGGTGCTTATTTTAAACCATACAGGGATCTGTCAAGTTTGCATAAGTGATGTGGTTTGGTCTTATCTTCATAACCTGGCGTCTGTTTCATGTATACCTCTTCTTCGAGGAAACCATGCAAGAAAGCGTTCTGAACATCGAGTTGCCCCAAACACCAATCCTTAGACATAGCTAGAGAGAGCACAAGACGAATTGTGGGTGCTTTCACAACAGGACTAAAAGTATCCTTATAATCAATACCATATCGTTGTTTGAACCCCTTTGCTACTAGGCGTGCCTTATATCTGTCAATTTTTCCATCTGATCTTCTTTTGATTTTATAGACCCACTTGCAATCTATCACATTTTTACCTTTTTAAGGTGGAACTAGATGCCAAGTTTTATTCCTGATCAATGCATCAAATTCAACATCCATAGCATGCTTCCAATTATTATCGACTAAGGCATGTTGCAAATCAATAGGACCTTCGGTGGTGGCTGCTAACTGACCATATCGAATAGTTCCATTAGTGTAAATTTTTGGTTTGCGTATACCTTGTTGTAGATGTGTGGTGGGTCGCTGGAGAGCCGGTGCTGCAGGCGATGTAGAAGATCCGGTGGGTTGATCTGTGGCTGGCGAGCGAAGATCCGGTGGGTTGATCTGTGGCTGGCGTAGAAGATCCGGTGAGCGGCGGACCCAAGGAAGATTCTCCACCACCGGTCGAAATATCCTGTCCCCCTGTCCGCGGAGCCAGGCGAGGCGAGTTCAAGACAGGTGGCGCACGTGGAGAGGATGCCGGTAGAGCTGACGCGTTCGCCACAAGCGCAGGAGCTGACGCCGTCGGATCCAAGACCGATCCTGTCGACTCCGCAGTGGAAGGTGCAGATGAATCAGCCTGGGGATCGCCGCCTGTTCCTGCCAAAACAGGAAATTGCTCGGGGAGCATGAAATGACGCCCGTTTCCAGCCAGATTTAGTTCGTTTGACGCCGAATTTTTTTCATGTGCTGCACACTTAGACATAGGGTTAGTATGCATGGAATCATTATCAAAATGATCTGAAGAATTGTCATCCCCAAAATCATGTGAAGGATTTATCAAAGTTGGAGGAAGGAGGAGAATTTCAGATCGTAATCGAGCACCGGCGTTTAGGTGGAGTTCGGCGAAGGGGAAGACGTGTTCATCGAAGACCACGTCTCGGGAAATATAGACACGCCCTTCATTTACATCCAGACACTTGAACCCCTTGTGTATGTTACTGTATCCTACCAAGACACAGCGTTTGGAGCGGAATTGCAACTTGTGAGCGTTATAAGGCCGTAGATTTGGCCAGCATGCGCAGCCAAAAGTACGAAGAGAGGAGTATTCTGGTGTTTGATGAAACAGGCGTTCAAGAGGAGTTTGGTTATTGATAATTTTACTAGGGATGCGATTAATAACATAGGTGGCAGTGATGAAAGCTTCATCCTAAAATTTTAAGGGCATAGAAGCATGGGCTAAAAGCGAGAGACCTACTTCAACAATATGGCGATGTTTGCGTTCAGCGGAGCCATTTTGTTGATGTGCATAAGGGCATGAGACATGATGCGAGATGCCAATGCGCTGAAAGAAGGCATTCAGCTTTTGATATTCCCCTCCCCAGTCAGTTTGCATAGCGAGAATTTTTCTATCAAATTGGCGTTCAACCATAGCTTGGAATTCATGAAATTTTTGAAAAACTTCAGATTTATGACGAAGCAAATAAATCCATGTAAACTTGCTGAAATCATCAATGAAGCTAACGTAATAACTGTTTTTGCCAATAGAAGTGGCCGTAGGACCCCATACATCAGAAAACACAAGTTCTAATGGATTCAATGAGATACTCGTGGATCTAGGATAGGGCAGCTGATGACTTTTGCCCTTTTGACAAGCATCGCAAACAGTTTCTTTATTTAAATCGGCAACAAAGGGAATACTATTTTTGCTAAGGATTTGCTGAACGACTGCAAAAGAAGGGTGGTCGAGACGACTATGCCACCTGGACGAAGGAGACTTGACAGCACCAAATGCCCCTTTATTCGATGACGGCCTAGACTTTAACGGGTAAAGGCCACCTTCATATTCCCCTCTAAGGATGGTTTTCTTCGTCGCTTGGTCCTTAATCAAAAATTAGTTGGGATGATATTCAATAAAATCATGGTTATCGGATGTAAGATGATGAACAGATGCAAGGCTTTTGTTAGCTTCAGGAACATAAAGAACATTGTTTAGGATGAGATTTTGATTTGGGGTACGAACAAAACTTCGACCAATTTGATTGATTCTCATACCTGCGCCATTAGCAACATGAACCTTGTCGTTTCCATGGTGCTTGTCCCTCACGGTGAGCTTCTCCAGCTCTCCCGTGATGTGGTCGGTAGCACCAGTGTCGGTGTACCAGTTGGTGTCGATCCCATATGACGCAGAGGAGGCAGATCGAGATTGCTCTGGTGGGCCGGTGAAGGAAGCGTCAAAACGCTTGAAGCAGCGGAGTCCGGTGTGGCCCTCCTTATCGCAGAGCTGGCAAATGGGTTTATCGCCGTTGTAGTTCTACCGGGGCGCCCGCTGTTGTTGTTGTTGCCACGGTTGCGGCCGCGCTCGCGTCCTCGGCCACCACCGCCGTGGTTGAAACCGCCATGGCCTCCACGTGTAGCTGTGTTAGCAGATGAACTGGATCCACCGTGCAGGAGATCTATCCGCTGTTCCTAGCTCACTAGCTGGGTGTAGAGCTCGCCCAAAGATAGCGGCTCCGTGCGCGCCGCGACAACCGAGACAATCGGATTAAAATCCATGTCAAGTCCGGCTAGTACATAGGAGATGATCTCTTCATCTTCAAGACGTTTGCTGGCGGCCGCCATGTCGTCAGCAAGAGATTTCATTTTGTTGAAGTAGTTAGCGATTGTAGACGAGCCCTTTTGCGCCGTGGCCAATGCCATGCGCGTGTTGATGATACGGCCCCGAGACTGGGAAGTCGTCATCCCTGAGATCACTTTCCAGATCTCGGCCGATGTGGCGCAATTGAAGATTTGCACCTGGATCTCTTTGGAGATATTAGAGAGCAGATAGTTAACGATCTGCTGTTGCTTCGCAACCCAAGTTTCGTACTCAGGGTTGGGGATGAGCTCAGTCGGCTTGTCGGCCGCCTTGGGGATCTGCTTCGCCGGCACCATAATGTCGGGCTCGAGATAGTGCGCTATCTGCGCACCGCGAAGAGCAGACAACACATGGGCGCTCCATAGGGGAAAATTCCCTTTGCCCAGCTTCTCAGTGACGGGACAACCGATCAGAGAGAACCATTGTTGAAGCGTGGAAGAGAAAACCATCAAAAATATTGTGGACTAACCTAGCTCTGATTACCATGTGAAAATGGTTGGAACATGATGTCCTCTCAGGCTCACGGCTTCGTGTTAATATAGACAGGAAGAGCCCCTGGCGTGGCGGTACAACTTGTACAACTAGAAGAAGCTAACTACTTTGGTAACTCTAGATTACATCATAAGATTACATCAATCAGGAGATGCCTATCCTATCTAACTAAAGTTGTGATAGTTGCCTTCACTTTCAATCTAAGTCTGAGCGCACAACCAATCTTCACCAATCTTCAGAAGATATCAATCAATCAGATATTACGGTCACGTGCTATTGGATATTCTTAGCACCCATCACCGTCAGACTGGGACAGGGCGCCCTCCTCCTCGCCGCCAGCGCGGGCGATGGGCCCCTTTGACGACGCCGGCGCAGTTGGTGCAGTCGCCGGAGGCGCTGGGTCGACTGTTGCAGCTCCGCACGTCCGCCCTGGCGTCGAGGAGCAGGCTCTCCATCTCAGCTCCGTCGCGCTCTTGGACAGCAGCAGCACTAGGTTGGCGCCCAGCCCTAGGCTCGCCGACAGCACGTCCTGCTTCCCTGCACGCCATATACATACACACACAAGCATCGTCATCATCACCACTTGGCCAAATGCACAGGGGTCACCGTGGAAAAACACGCGCACGCTCGAGCACGTACCAAACAGAGCTCCGAGGGGACCCGGGCTCGCGAGGCGCCGGCTGGGATGCCACCACCGCCGTGGGCGCGGCAACTTCCGCCGGCCATCCAAACCCGGTGCCGCCGAGGTCCGTGTGGAGGATGCGCGACAGCAGCGGCCGCGGCGAGGAGCACCCGCGGCCACGGAGGCCCTGGTGACGAGCGCAACGCCGGTGTCGAGGTGGGCAGCGACGGCGGCCGCGTCACCCTCGCCGACGGATCGAGCTCTCCAGTTCTTCCCTCCGTTATTTTCTCCCAACTACCTTTTAATTGTTTCTTTTACCGAGGAACATGCGGCACAACTACACGAGGCTAACGGAGAGACGAGTCCGTATGGAGTAATGGACGGAAGGTTATCAACGGAAAAGTCTGAGGGCCCAGCTCCTGGAGGGGAGGGCGTGGATGGTGTCCACGTGTGTGGGTACACGGATGGAGACAGGCAAGCTGCAGCCGGGCATCACCGCTACTCGCCGGAGAGACGCCAGTGCCGGCATGCCACTGCTGTCTGCCGCCAACAAACTGATCGGCGTGCTCGTGCATGCCATGCCCTACCCAAACCACTTCACTTTTCCCCCTCTCATATCTGCTGATCTCAGGGGTAGGATTCATTCTTTTGCATCAGTTTTTGTTTCTGAAAAGCGACATACACATACTCCCCTCGGCCTCAGCCTGTGGAGCACACAGGTCGAGTGGAATTGGGCCTCTAATGGGCCGAGTCTTCTGCGTGGGCCACGCAGGGCGAGGCTCCAGGCTCGCCGGCCTCATCCTCCCGGACCCGGAGTGCTCTACATTCTCTTGCAGTCGTCGTCCTCATTCTCCCTCTCCATGCTCTGTATTTGGTACTGTACTGATTGTTTGAGTGGGGAGATGTTGTGCTGTGTAGGGGCGCGTTCAAGATCCGAGCCGAGGTGCTTCGAATTCGATATTCGCACTTGACGATGAGCAGGCATCAAAGGGCGTCGTGACACAAAGCAGGTTCTTTCTGCAATTTTTATAGACATCTATAGAACAGAAAAGTATCATTATGGTAGGATGGTTTCTTTGCAGTAGGAACCATGCCGCCGCCGTGGCTTTGGCTGCAAAGCTGCGTGGCATACCTGCACACATTGTCATTCCAAGAAACGCACCAGCGTGTAAGGTTGAAAATGTTAAGCGCTATGGTGGTCGTATATTATCTGGAGCGATGTCAGCATTGAATCGAGAGAAACTGTTTGTAAAAGAGTCGAGGAGGAGACCGGTGATTTTGTTAGGCCAGTCTCACGGGATAGTTTTATGGTGGTGTTTTCAAGACAATGAAATTTAGATGAAACATCTACTTTCAATGCAAAGTTTTATTTTGTAGTTTCATATGCATTTAATTCCATGACTCATAGATAATTGATAATCATGTTAAGAGAATGGATAAAACTCATTTCTTCTCTCTTCTTAAACATAATGTCATGTCATCAAAAATACCTATATGGTAACCTATTTAATGACATGTCATAAAAAATGTTCTCTCGATTGAACTTTTGGAGCAAATCCCTGAAATTGACACAATAATTGTTCCCATTAGTGGTATGGGCTACAGAACTCCTTTGCGATGTAAATGATATAATTTCGTTTTTAAACTTGCATAAACATTTGTTTGACTGGTGTGGCCCATGCTGAAAAGGCCATAAACCCTTCGATACGCATCCTAGCAGCAGAACCAAAAGGCTGCTGGAAAGATCATCACTTTGCCTTCCACAAACACCATTGCTCTGATGGACTACGAGCTTTTCTTGGTGACTTGACATGGTAAAGCAATTTGCATTGAACAAATATGCATAATCCTTTTTGCTTGCTTTGTTGAGTTCTTTTGAGCCTTTCTAAAATGTCCTTATTTCTCGGTACGTTGGTGAAAAAGTTGGATAATTTGTTTGGCATATTTCCTATTCCTCAGTCGTCTGAATTCTGGGCTTGTCTTCAGGCGACGCCTCCGATGGAGCTTGCGATCCGTGCGCTCGTATGCTTTTGTATTGGGTCCGTGGCTGTGTTTGGTTCTTATTGGGTCCGATCGAGCTCGACTGCACCCGCTAACACCGATCGAGCTCGCCGCGGACCTCCCCCATCCCACGCCACGGCAGCGCCGCGAGCGCCCACTGCTGCCCGCGCTGGCATCTCCCTCTCTCCCCTCCCCATCTTCTCACTCGGAAGCCGTCGCCGCCAGCTCGGTCACTCGGACGAGCGTGCGCCGCGCGTAGCCCCCGGCCGGCCTCGGATTCCGTCGCTCCACGACAAGCACCCCAGCTTCAAATGCCGCCCCCGCGCCTCGGCTCCGTGCCCGCGCCTCGCCTGAAGATGCTGCCCGCAAGATGCCGCCCACGGCTCACTCGTCTCCGCCATAGCTTGAGATCGGCACCTACCTGCGTTCGCCGCACGCTCCGTTGAGGTTTGTTGCTTGAAAATCCCTTGTCGCTGCTGATTCGATTTGGTCCTCTTTGATTTTGTTAGTGGTTTCGGTTTGGATTGCTTGTAAGAAGTGGATTCGTAACTAAGTTGAGCAATGGTGCTTGCTGACCTGTTTTTAGGGGTGAGCTTAGATGTTTTTTTAGTTAAATGTCGATCTGTAGATCTAGTTTTGCATGGTGAGGTTGTTGGTATAATTGTTTCAAACGGAGAGGGAGGAGGTAGAACGGGGAAGAACCGCCTAGAAAGATTCTATTCGAAGCGCTGACACACCTCATCTCCTTGTCCGCTTGTATCGAATGAAGCTAGCCCAACTGAACCTGTTGCACATCCATCGATCCACATCCCGCTTTCGCTTGCTCCAATTGCTCCCATCCTTTCTTCTCGTAGTCCCCACCGATTTCCGTTACGCTTCGGAGGAGTAAAACCGATGCGATTCGAGATCGTGACTAGGCCGAGCTAGAAGTAGAAGTGTCAATGGATCCATGGATACACCATCGGCCAAGTACTAGTAGCGAAGGCCACGGTAGATGCAGAGTGTGGCATGGTAGCTGCATCCACCAATTATTGATTGGTTTGAACTCTTCTCCTCCTCTCCAACTCCAACTCAATGAGACGCGCAGCACCGCAAAACCGCTTCGCTTGCTGGTTTTGCTACGATGGACGGGCAACGGCGGACCAGCCACCATTATGCTCGGATTACTGCTCCTGGCAGCTCTGCTTTTTGTGTTTGGGCAACGAGGAGAATCCGGGAATGGGCATCCTCGTTGGTATCTCTGAAATCGGTTTCTTGCTCTTTGAACAAGTAGTATCACGAGTTCATCTGAAGTTGAGCGAGTGGCGACAACTCGTCTGCGTGCTTTGTGTTCTCTGTTTTGACGCGACGGCAAAGAACTCAGGCTTTGTGTTCTCTGTTTTTAGGCGGTGACAGCTGAGGAAAAATATATATGCATACAGAATATGATTTTATTGTCCCTTGGATTTTATTTACAATTTTAGGAAGAATAGATAGCAAACTATAGATAATGTATATTGGTTACAAAATAGTGATTAACGGAAGCAGAACCCTGACTTCAGATTTATATTAACTCCTAACTATAGTTAAATATATTCAACATGGGGTCTGGATTATTAAAGTGGCGCCAAACAACATGGACTGTATATGCAAAATCGGAAGTGCATAATGACAATGGATAGGACCAAGGATCGCACATTCTTTACCAATAAAACAAAGATCATACATCCTGAAATAAGTATCCCATCTTCAAATACTGATATTTTGTAACTTCCCAGCTGAGCTCATTGGCTTATTCCTACAAGTTCATGTAACTAAACCCTACAATCTATCCCTACCAAGTTTAACCAAACACTTCTAGCTGAAATTGACAACCTGCATATAGCAAGGTGTTATCTTATTATAGGAATATAACATGATTACTACTATCGGAGCATTTTCTGATAGGGCATTTATCTGATAAGAAGGTATGTCTAGGTAGATGAGACAAATAGGAAAGCTTTTTGGTTTTTATGAGCTGAGACTCCTAACATACTGTAGCTTCATGTATTATCCTCAAAAATGTTCTCTGCCTTTCATGTAAATTGTTCATAAACCAAAAGAAAGAAAACAAAATAAATGGTTAAACCATTTGCAAAACATGCATAGAAATACATCTATCTCAACAAAACTCTGTAGTGTCTTTAAACGAAAGTCCATGGAAGAGCACCTTTTTTATAGGAAAGAGGACCTTGTTGCTCATTGAGCTACCATAGCATTCATATGGTACAGAACTTATGCGTAAAAAAAATCGTGTTTCGATCTTCCAAAGAAAACAGATGGAAAAAGAATTGGAGCAAGTACATCTTACCAATAAATGTATTGGATGAGGTTAGTGATCACATTAAATGAAATTGGTATGTTCGAGTATATCGGGGCGGAGGGACCTTAACATGTTCAGAGTTTCAGCTTGAGATCCCGAGGCATAGAACAAATGCAATTTTAAATTTAAACCAAGAGCAATCCATAGACAAACCAAACCTATTATACATGAAGAAATCAAAGCATCCAAACCCCATGAAATTCAGAGTTTCTCCTTCTTTGTTGTTATGTTTTTAATCGGATCTCTGTTGGTGTGTGGAGTTTAACATTATTTGATCTGTAATCCGAGTTTCTCCTTGTGTTATATAAACCCAACACGGTGCCTTTTTTTGTTTGGATGCATGTTTCACTCTGCTTTCATTGCTCGAAGTGACAGGCGTAATGAACCCTACCGAGGATAGTTTCTCGTGGGCGCTCTAGAGGATTCAGAAAGAGGAATCGGCCAGCTCTCAAGGAATGCAACGTGAAGCTTGCGGTGGTGCTCGGCGTGCTCAATGAGTGCTTCAACCCAGTGAAGGATGGGTGGACAAGGATTGACATGCTCCACCAAGTGTGTATAGCCTTGGGTAAGTCTTTTTGAGTCGAGTGAGACGTGCACATTTTTGTAATCGCCCTGAGATGTCATTCGCTTATATATTAGGTCTTGATTACGCCGCTTATATAGAAGATGTTTCTTGCTTGAACGAACAGTCTGAATTTAAAATGGCTAAGCTACGAAGGGTTGTACACCATGGTTCGAAGAAGCATGGAGAGATCGTTCAAAGACCATTCTTTGAGGTTTGTACACCAAATGAATTTTGAATAGTTGTAGTCTGTAGTATCCTCTTCTTGGTCATGTTGTAGTAGAATAGTAGGAGCTCACATCTTTTAACTGTGTTGCATATACTGTACAAGAAAGCTGTGTTTAATATCTATTTCTTGATTGCACATTTATAAGTAGTAAATTGCACACCTAAATTTCTGCAATTATGGTGTTTAACATGTGCAATATCCAGTCTTTAGATATAACTTTCCCACTATTTTATTTTCCTTTTCACATTTGATTAACCAGGAAAAACATATGTTCAGAAAGCTTGTGCTAGGAAAAATCTTTACTTTCATAGTCCAATTGTACTATCATTTAGATTATTTGATGATGAATAATATTGCTCTAATGCTCAGGTTTTTAATAACTGAACTGAACTGTTGCAGAGTTGGACCGGTATACAAGATGAGAATTGTCACATGTTTCTTTCAAGACAATTACATAAATTAAACTGGACTGCACGCTTCCTTTTGATTGGT